GGCCGGAGGTGTGCATTTCTAGCCCTGACACACGGCCGGGGGGTGTGCATTGCTAGCCCTGACACGCGGCCGGGGGTGTGCATCGCTAGCCCTGACACACGGCCGAGGGGTGTGCATTGCTAACCCTGACACACGGCCGAGGGGTGTGCATCGCTAGCCCTGACACAGCCGAGGGGCGTGCATTTCTAGCCCTGACACACGGCCGGGGGTGTGCATTTCTAGCCCTGACACACGGCCGAGGGGTGTGCATCGCTAGCCCTGACACGCGGCCGGGGGTGTGCATTGCTAACCCTGACACACGGCCGGGGGGCGGGGGGAGATGTCTGTGTGCACACTGCCGGGGTGCGCGGGGTTGTGTGCGCGGTGAGCCGAGCCGGTGCACACGCGTCGTTAGTGGCGCACAGATTTAACACCCAGGAAGGGAGCACGCACACACACAGACACGTACGCACGCGCACACGCAGGGTGGTGCTCTCCCCCAGCCGTGCTGCCTGGGCCGCGGGCCCTGGCGCTCGGACTCTTCTCCCCGGCCCGGCCCGGCCCGCCCCGCCTCACCGAGTGTTTCAAGTCTTTAAACCGCCGGGCGGGCGAGGAAATGCGATTTAGCCGCCGCCCCCCCGCGGCCTCCCGCTGCCAGCCCGCAGCGCCAGAGAGCAGAGGTCAGCGGGACCAGGAGTGCAAATGCTGCTGGTGGCTCGTGTCGGCTTCAGGCATCCATCCACCGCCCTCCTTCATCCATCCGTCCTCCCACCCACCTGTCTGCCTGCCCTCAGTAGGGCCCCCCCGTCTGTAGGGTGTCCAGCCACCTCTGCCCCCAGCTGCTCTCGCCCTCGCCCTTCAGCCCCTGCGAGACCCAGATCCTGGCCTGGGCTCTGCGCCCCTCGGCCTGCTTCCTCGCGGGGCTGAATGGCTCAGAAGTCAGCTGCTCCAGGCCCTTCCCCTCCCCCTTCCCGCTGGATCGATGTTTTAGCTCCTTCATTTTACAAATGGCCCGGCCAATCCATTAGCCAGCGCCCGGGCAAGGAGTTGCCTTCGGGATGACCGGTTCCTCTCCCCTTCGGCTTTTCCCTTTCGCAGCACAGCCGGGCTTTCTACGCAGGGGAGTTAGGCTCTGAAAATGCAGCCGCTGCCCCTGGGGGCTGGAGCCTGGACCGTACTCAGTGGAGGGAGATGTGCTGCCCGTACGGCTTGGGGGCTCGCTGGAGGGC